AGAAAAACTGAAACCAAGACCACAGACTTGAACGTGTGTTCTGCATCCCACCTTGTCCGTGTAGACCGTGCTCTGGCGGCTGAGTTCTGGCTCTGGTTCCGGTGATGAGTGTCCGGAAGTCTGGCGTGACATGATGCCTTGATCAACACTTCGCACTGCACGGGACGTGGCTTCATAAAGCCTTGAGATCAGACGAGCTTTGCACAAACTTACTGCATGCCCAAGAGCACAAGCCAGGTCCTTCAAATTCTGTAGGTCGCACCATTTGGTAGTCTTTAGGACCTCACATCGCAAAGTTCCATGATCTCTCGCTGCCCAGAGTCAGGCATGGTGACTTGCTACTGTCAGAAGAACAGGATTTAAGCACACGAATTGAGGCTACAGGTCCAAGGTCTCAACTTCATTGCGTCTGCTGTCTTACTGTGCAGTAGCGGTCGTATAGTGAGCTTTCTATGCTGCAAAATGACGGACTCACATGCACATATTCAATCCACAGTTGATTTGATGTTTTACCTTGACGGCCTGGCAAGTATCTCATGCCGGATGTAAGGTTCACAGCCTGTTCACGGGTGTGAATTCTCGCTCCCGGTTCGCTTCTGACTTCAAGCAAAGCGGCCACAAATGTGAAGCTGATTGCCCTCCACTTTGAAGATGTAAGGAATCCTGCAGCATGCTTGAAAAAACATGGGAAGCAAGGAGACAACAAAGCTGAGTTGCAGACATGGATACTAGTACTGAGCAGAGTTGGAAAACAACATCTTGGAGCATTTCCAGCAAACCTTGGCGGGCACCCCGCATCACGGTGGAGGATTTCCAAGTCCAGAGACGCTGGCGACGAGCGGCCTGAGCTAGGTCTGACACAGGAGATCTAAAACATCTTCATTCAGGGCCCAGGCTTGCTCTAGGTACAGCATGCACGGATATAGGAGCGTGAGAGAACTGACAACTGCCTCTCCTCAAGGGTTGGATAGATTCTAGACTCCAGGCTTGGGCAAGAGAACTCTCTGCTCAAGTTTGCCCAGGAGCAGTCAACATGGCAGCGCGCGGGTAGCATCTGGCCCATCACCGTGACCTGTTAGCCCCCTGCTGAACTGAGATGCTCTGGCAAGGCTTGGGATCTACTGTCCTTGCAGCACCAAAGCTCGTTGTCTACAGACTCTTCCGACCCACACGCCAACTTGTAGCATGCACATTAGTGAAAGCTCGGGCGTGCCAGAAGCCTGGCATTTTTATATACTTGAACAGAAGATAATACTCGGCCTGGAGATAGACAGGGCCCCACTTTTTGTTTTGGAATTTATTTATCGTTTTTTTTGGAATTCTTTTCCTG